TTTTGGATGTTCTCTTTATCGAGGGTGAGAAAAAATATCTAGACAGTATTCAATATTTTTGAAAGCACATGATATTTGCAAAGGATAAGACCAGAATAATACTTAAGAGTTTCATAGACATTACTTCGTGAGACTCAGAACTATCTTTGAGATAAAACTGAGGAGCAAAGGACAAATATTTATTAAGGGCCTGCTATATGAAAGGAACTGGACTGGATAATTTATATGGGTCATCTCCTTTAGTCCTCACAAACCCCATGAATTGGGTATTGTTATCTCCACTTGAAAGATAAGAAAACTTGAGCTAGCTAAGTAATTAACCAAAAGTGACACAGAAGAGAAATGAAAGGGAACCAGGATTCAAATCCAGTTCTGTGGCTTCAAAACTCATGTTCTGAGTAGCTTACAGTAAGGAAAAAAAATTTGTAAACAACCTAAGTGGCATCATAGGAATTGCTTAATCAGGGGTGGGGAATGTCTGGCCTGTGGGCCATATACGGCCTGCAAAATCATTTAGTCTGATCCTGCCAAGGCATTAGGGATGAACTAATTAAATATTTGACCAAATATAGCAGGCTAATTTTTAAGTTGATGATTTTGCATGGCCCACAAATGATGTTATAAATACCCAAATGGCCCCTGGTAGAAAAATGGTTCCCCACCCCTGGCTTAAATAAACTGTAATCCTATATAATAAAAGGCTAATATGCAAATTGACCAAACGGCAGAACGACCAGTCACTATGACGTGCACTGACCACCAGGGGGCAGATGCTCAACACAGGAGCTGCCCCCGGTGGTCAGTGTGCTCCCACAGGGGGAGCACTGCTCAGCCAGAAGCCAGGCTCACAGCTGGCGAGTGCAGCGGCAGTGGTGGGAGCCTCTCCCACCTCCTCAGCAGTGCTAAGGATGTCCAACTAATGAACATCTCCCAAGGGCTCCCAGACTACAAAAGGGCACAGGCAGGGCTGAGGGACCCCCCCCTCCAAGTGCACAGAATTTCACGCACCAGGCCTCTAGTGTATCCATAAAAAGCAATCATGGCAAATGATGTTATAGATCTATTTTTATTTACATGAAAAGATGTTAACATGTAAATATCAAGTAAAAAGATCAGATTACAAAAAGAGAACATATTATATGATTCCTTTTAAGTTACACATATAATTTTATATGTATATTTGCAGTTAAAAAATTATAGCTAGGTGATGGGATTTGAAGTATGTTTCTTCTTGTTATTCATTTATAGTTGGTGTACAATGAGCTTCTATTGCCTGGATGCTTGGATGAATGGGCAGATACAGTGAGAGATATGTAGATACATAGATATAGAATATATAAAGAGATATAGACAGAATTTAAAGATCTAGTGTTTAAAAAATAAGATTGTAGCCACATCTGATATTTGAAAAGCTCTATTATACACTTTAAGAATACTCATGTGCAACATACTTGTAAGAGTTCAGAAAAATATATCTATAAGTCTATCTGTATATCAATATCTATACATTTATAGATATATTTTCTCACTATCTATATGTAAATGCATTGATATAAACAGAATAAAACAATATCTACACATTTATAGAGACAATGACAGAATATTATAAAACAAATATAGCAAAATGGTAGCAATCAGGGAATCTGGGTGAAGAGTATATTGGAGTTTCTTGTGCTATTCTTTCAACTTTTCTGTAAATGTGAATTACCTCAAAGTTTAAAAGTTTAAAAAAGTAATACACATTTTATATTTCAAACACATAGTCTGGTACAAGATTATGCCAATTTAAAAAGAGACACTACTCCACCATTTGGTCTCCTTATTGGCACTTGAAACAAGAGCCTGTGATCAATTTTTTAATTCACCCTTTACAGTGCTTGTCACAGAATAACTTACAATTTATTTGGTTGTCTTCCCCAGAGCACAGAAATATATGGGAAGCCTCCCATTTTGTTTCACAAGGCCAGCACAATTTTAATAACAGAATTGGACAAACCTAGCACATAAAAATCCATGGACCAGCGTGAATCATAAATATAGACACAAATGTAAAAAACAAATAATAGCTTATTCAAGTCTAATAATTCCTTAAAAGAAAATAATAAATCATTCACAGGTAGGGTTCATTTCAGGTTTATAAGGTAAAATCAGCATGAGAAAATCTAGAGAATTTAAGAGATATTTCATCTTTCTTGATAAATAGTAAAGAGAGGTTTTTCTTTCACAACTCCTTTTTGTAAACTAGAAATAACAGAATAAAGAAGACTACCTATTACAAGGAAAAATATATTTGAGGGGGAATACTAGAGACATTACTACCCAAGCTAGAAATATGAAAAATATACCCATTATCATTGCTATTATTCAACTCTGTTCTGGAGGCTCTAGGCAACATAGTAAAAGGAAATTATAATTACTTCTTAATTTTATGATAACCTCTCTAAAAAATCCCAAAGAAGCCACAAAAAGCTATTAATTAATAAAGTTTTAATCAGATCCAATACAGTATATCAAACCTTTATGCCAGACATCGCAAGTTGGCAAACTTTTTCCATAAGGTTCAGAGAGTAAATATTTTAGGGTTTGAAGGCCATACGGCCTCTGTAGCAACTATTTAACTCTGTCATGCAAAAGCAGCCATAGATAATACAGAAATGAATGGATGTATCTGTCTTCCAATAAAACTTTATTTACAAAAATAGGCAGTGGGCCGGATCCGGCCCACTGGCCACAGTTTGCTGACCCCTACTTTATACCACACAAAAAAAAAGTCGATGGAGAAAAGTTATCATGTCAAACAGCAAAACAATATGTAAAGACCTAGAAATTACTTTCTAAAGGGCGATTCAACTATATGAATCAAAATTTAAACTATGAATACTCTTTCAACATAACAAGTGCATTTCTGGGAACTTATACTAAAGATATATTTAGGGAAGGACATAAAGATGTGTACACATGGATATTTATTATAGTGTTATTTGTAATAGGAAAAAATATCTCTTACATAATCCATGTCTATGAAAAATACATCATTTTTAAAGGTGACAGAACAGTATGCATATCAGTTAATTTTTAAGTATATGGGTGTGTGATGGCTGTGCATATGTAATCACACATGAAAAAAAATCCTGGAAAGATATATACCCAATTGCTTCATCAGCAGCTACTCCTCGGGGTGGACTTATAGGAGGCTTTCTTCTTTCCTTTTGCATGTTATTTTTGCTCTTACTCTATTTCCCATCTAAGCTTGGAAAGGAAATTTTTCATTTTTAAAAGAAGTAAGCAAACAAAAAACTCCAGTGCTGCTCTGAACAATTTACTCTTATTTCTATGAATTTTAAAGAAGCCTGTATACAATATCCTCCTCAAATAAAACACATCAATACTGATTTTAATTTTTACATTAAGACATCTCCAAAAAGTTCTTTAAATTACTAACTGTTTCATGCCCTGAAGATGGAAATCTTTTTATTGTAAGTAATGTAAAAGGAGCATCTATCTGGAAATCTTGTCTTTCTCTTATTCTTCAGTGATATTTCTGCACACGTGATTGGATTTAGAAAGCCACAGAAAGGAAACAGGAAATAGGCAAGATTGGAAAGTGATGGACCAACCTGAGGTAATATCTTATCGGGAAATAAGTATTAGCAAATTCATTCCTTGAAGTCTTATTTATGGTTGCATAGTATGGGAATTTCACCTGTTGGGTTGGGGTAAATCTCTGACATTCTTGAAAATTCTCATTTATAATTTATGACGACTAAGTTTGGGTCTCTTAGTAGAAAATATAAGTTCATATGATTTACTTTTTTTAATCTTTATTGTTGAAAGTATTACATAGGTCCTCCTTTCCCCCCCGCCCCATAAACCTCTTCCAGCCCGCTCCCGTCCTCCCCCGGCCCCACCCAGGCCCTCACCACCCCACTGTCTGTGTCCACGCATTATGCATATATGCATTCAAGTTCACTGGTTGATCTCTTCCTACACACCCTCTCCTGCCTACATATGATTTAGAGCTAGTGACATTTAAGCATGTTTTCCCTTACAATTGATAACAGTTATCTATTTTACCATGTTTTGGTTATAATATATCTATAAATTGGTACATATTTGATTTTCATGTATTTAAAATCTTGGAAAAAAAGAGTTGGGGAAGAAAGGAAAATAATGATCCCTGTAACTGCTCAGAAATTCTTTGCAGGTATAAATGAATGCACGTTATATAGCATAACTAACAGTTACCACAAAGAGGGAAAAAACATTATTTTTGCCTTCTCAAAACACCGAACTTATCTGGCTTTGAAATCTACCAATTTCCCTCCTGAAATGGCGGTCTCCAATAGCTCAGCCTAAAAATTAGATCCATTGCAAACAGAAGATCCTCTGGCAAAAGACATTTTCAACTTTTGAAGGGTGTGTGCACACACACCTATGTGAGTATGTGTATGTACGCACATGTGAGTACGTGTGTGTGATCTTGTCGTTGCAAGAGAGGCCATGGGAGAAAAGACAGTCTCCCCAGAGCCAAGTTAGAAGTTAACAGGAACAATATGACAAACACAAAGGTCATCCAGAGTTCTCAAAAGTGATGTCAAAAAACAATGAGGTGTCAAGTATATTTTGTAAGCCATAAAAATCTAGGACACAATGAGCAAGTGATAAAGTTTGCTCTGGACACAACAGACAAATAAGTACATTGATATAACATGGTTTGCATTAACTATTCCTTTGCTCCCAGTCTCAATCAGATACTATTTGTCCTTCAGCAGCAGAAATTACTACTGTGAAACGTGAACGTAATGACTCAAGCTTGTATTGAGATCGGGGAGATTGGAATTCCACAACTTTCCTCCCAAGCTTCCATTTTTAAAAATCTTGAACATGAATTCAGTATAGCTAAAAAGTGAATAGGGAAATTATGGTGTTTGGTGTTTTTTTTTTTTTTGGTCAAATACTGATCTCTGTAAAGCCTGTCACCATCCCCAGTAGAAACTTACCCTTCAACTTGAGGTCCACATTATGTCTCAGCCAAGGATAAACCCCATAGCTTGGCATATCTTCGGGAATCGGATTGCTGTTTATCCAGCCATCACAAGCAAACCGGAAGAAATTATCACAAGGGTCCACAGACGGATTTACTTTACTCAAGATGGCAGCAGCTATGTAAAAAGAAAATCATAGGATTAATGACAATCACTGAATGCTGTGTATTGGCCTCTTCCAAATTAAACAATGATTTCCTATCTACCAGTTCCCAAGCCTTAGCTTTTACATTTTCCTGAATCAACTGCTATCCAGCAGTGAACTCTGGGTTGTAGAAGGCTGCTATAAGACTCCTTGGCTAGAGAGCAAGGCAAAGTGGGCATTCTAGATGAGGGACCCAAGGCAGGGGCCTCTCTTACCCAGGTCTAGGAGCAGAACTGAGTATTTGTATAAGTTAACAGAAAGACAAAATAGACTGATGTATAATTTTTTTCCTCTTTCATAAGTCCACACACAATTACATATGACATATAGTCGATAGGTAGGAAGTTTGTACAAATGTAAATGTTTCCATGAGCTTTAAAAACAATCTTTCATTACAAAATGAGAAGGTTCCAATATTCCCAACATTGAACTCCAACTCTCTTCCAACTGTCATACAATTGCTTACTACCACTCTAGCACAGAGATATCCACCAACAAATTTTTTTCAGACAGCCAATATTTTGATATTGGAAAGATGACATCCTAAGTAGTTTTCATACTCTCATTAATGCCAGAATACATTTCTGTTCAAAGTAATGAAAACCCAATGAGTTTTCAGCTAAATGTGAATAAATTGCCCCCCAAAGTAAAATCTGTATACATTTAGATACACATGTTTGTTTGGCTACATGTGTGGTTCCTCCAGGCTTAAAAGTAAGGCTAGATATTTCTCTTGCCTAGACTTTCTATGAAAATTTCAAACAGCTTTTTGTCTTCAATAAAGTAAATAATATACAAACATCCTCATTTCTATAGGACATCAAAATTCCTACTATTTTCAAACTCCCCCCAAAAAAGAACAAAGCAAAAAAACTGATTGTCATTAATCCTATCTATGGTTTAGAAGTTTGATAAATTTTAAATTGGCTTAATATTTTCATCTTTCAGAATTCAGTTTTATCCAATTACATTTTTACTTACTGCTACTATATTATTATTAACATGCAAATATACTAGGACACACAAAATCTTCATTTCAGCTTCTTTTTAGTTATACAGGCTGTGCAGCCACAGAATGAATCTTCTATGTGACACCTCAGGGTCACTGAACATACTCGTTTCAGTCCCACACAATATTTACACTCACACAAAGGAACCCCACACACATTATTATTATTTATTTATTTTTTTGCATAAAGCTGTATTGTTTCCATTTGGTCCAATGCATGGGAGAGGGCTTCAGGGTGGTTAAAAGAATGGCTAGTAGTTTCGGGGAGAGGCTCAGGCAAAAGCCAGACACCAGGGGAATGCAGAGCCACCCCCCCCTCCCCCCGCAAAGGCCTCTGTGTTCCAAAGGCTTCTGGTTGTGCTTAAAGATGGGCCTTTCAAAGAGATACTGCCCAGCCCAGCCTGGGGGTGGAAGCCTGCAGATGTTAGTCAGGTGGTCACTCATCTTGATGAGTTTCACCTGATCATCCAGGAAGCAGTTCTGCAGGAAGTCCCGCAGCTGAGGGTCTGTGACTGTGCAGACAGAACCCAGGACCTGCAGGTTCCTCTCCCAGGCCAGGGCGGCTTCCATGGCGGCCTGAGTTTCACCCACTCGCTGTGGGGAGGCTTCAGCACGACCTGGAGAGAATGCGGCCACCTCGCTGGTTTTGCATCTTTAAGAGATGCTCAGCGCCCTCGCACTTCTTCTGTGCCAACTCCTGGAAGAAGCGGCCCCGCCCTCCAGAGCCACATTGTCGGGTGGAAACAGGAGCCCAGAGAGAGGTGGGTGTGGGGTCCCGCAGATGCAGGTTGGCCCGGCGGTGACCGCAGCCTCCACCTCGGTGGAATAATTCTGATGGATTTGGGAGCTGATGGCTGTTCGGCAATAAGGAGTTAAGGTAGAGAAACCCCCCGGTGTGTTGGCTGGTCTGGGAGGTGGTTCAGAAGGTGGTGACTGGATGAGACGCTGGAGAGTGGTCGGAGGCTGGAAGAAGGGGTGTCCCAGGGTCTGTTCCGTCCCAATACTGTAGAAGCAGAGACAGATTCGGGACCACCAAGGACACTCTCACACATTTTTATTCACACAAGCACATTGCTTTCTGGGTGCCTCCCAACCCTCAAATGTAGCCCTCCCCATCTCCTCAGTATTCTTCCAGGTACCTAGAAAAACTGCAAGGTCAGCTCCAACCTCAGCCCTGATATAAAGTGAAGGAATACATCACTCACTGAATTTGGACCTGAGCCCGGTGAATGGGGAAACTCTAGCTTCAGCCTCCAAATTCATCATTCACATCTCCCAGCTGGGCACAGAGCTGCATTTTGAGAAGGGAACTGTGACTTCAAATTGCAAGGGACCATACACCAAAACTCCTTTCCCCCCACTCAGCTTTACGGGGAAAACCCAGACTCTTGTTTTAATAATAATAATTATTATACATATATATACACATATATGTATATATATGATGATGAAGGAAACCTGTGTTATGTACTCTCTCAAGTTATCTATAATAATAAAAGCATTGCCCTAACTGGTTTGGCTCAGTGGATAGAGCGTCAGCCTGCAGACTCAAGGGTCCCAGGTTCGATTCCTGTCAAGGGCCTGTACCTTGGTTGCGGGCACATCCCCAGTCGGAGGTGTGCAGAAGGCAGCTGATCGATGTTTCTCTCTCATCGGTGTATCTAACTCTCTATCCCTCTCCCTTCCTCTCTGTAAAAAAATCAATAAAATATATTTTAAAAAAATAATAATAATAAAAGCATAATATGCTAATTAGACCTTCCTGGCGACCTTTCGGACAAAGCCGGGGCTGCGAGGGCCGAGGCAAGCCACCGCGCCTGCGAGGGCCAAGCACCTTGTACAAATTTCATGCATTGGGCCTCTAGCTGTATATAAGGTGAATTGTTATGTGGTTTCCAGCTAATGTTTATGTAGTACAGATGGAGGCATCACCCCATATACCAGGCTGAGTTTGTAAGTTTAATCAGGGCTCAAGAAAGAGGGGGAGGGGGGTGGTAATAATAATAATAATAATAAATACTGGGCATTTCCTCTGTGCCAGGAACTATGCTAGCCCTTTCCAGGCAGTATGGCATCATCACAGACTCCAGAGCCAGACTATCTGGATTTGAATGCCAGCAATACAATGCAGTAGCTCTGTAACCTCAGGCAGGTTACTTAACCTCTCTATGTCTTAGTTTCCTCATCTGTAAAATGCGGACCATAATAACACCCCATAGGATTTTCAAGGTAATTAAATGAGTAAATATATGTCAAGTGTTTAGAACAGTGCCAGAGACACTGCCAAATAATACAGTTGCCAGGTAAAATACAAGATGCCTAGTGAAATTTGAATTTCAAATAAATGACTAATTTTATAGTATAAATTCATACCAATTATTATATGGGACATACTTCTGCAAAAAAATTAGTGGTTATACGTGTGCAATTCAAATTTAACTGAGCATCCTAAATGTGTCTGTAGCTAAATCTGGCAACCACACATATAAATTTTTAGTACTATAATTCCACGAACACTTATCTGAAACTTGAGGCCAGATGTTTCAGAGCTCATAGATTTTCACATTTTAGAAAAGTTATACAGTGCATATACCACAGATTATATAACAGAACGCCTCCAGCAACATCTGGAATGGCACTCCTGAAACAAGCACATTAAGAATTCTATTGGGAATGTATACATATTCTCATACGGGGAAAACAAAGTCTAAAACAGCCTCACATAAGTTAGGATCCAGTTTTGCCACCACAGGAGTTGAGATCAGGTCCAGTCTTGCCAACTGAGAATTACCATGCTCTCTGGGTTTGGGGTTAAGGATCTGGAATTGTGGACCTGGATTACTACTACCACAATCATTATTTTCTTATATTCTCGCTGGCATGATAAGTGAAAACAATTATCCCCACTTTACAGATGGTGAAACTGAGACTTAGGGTGTCTATTGTACTTAACTCAAGATCATGTGGCTTTTAAGTGGCCACATTATGCTTCAAACCCATGCCAGACTGTTTGCCCTTCCCCACTATCATTAACATACCCGTTCCTTCATTCCTTCATTCCTTCTTTCCTTCTTTCCTCCACTTCTTATTTTGAAACACCAGTTAAAATAGGAGGAAATAGAAAAGGTGAAGAAAGGAGATTTACGGGAGAGACATCTTAGAAAAGGTTCCGAAGCCAAGTACTTTCTAGCGTGCTGCACCCACATACACACATAGCGCCCACGCATGCACGCACAAGGCGCCCAGATATGCACAAACTGCATACGCACGTGCACGCACGCACACGCACACGCACGCACGCACACGGCACCCGTGGACGCAGGCACGCACGCACGCAGCACGCACAGATGCGGCATGCACGCACATGCACGTGGTGCACGCACACGCACGCACGCACACGGCACCCGTGGACGCAGGCACGCACGCACGCAGCACGCACAGATGCGGCATGCACGCACATGCACGTGGTGCACGCACACGCACGCACGCACACGGCACCCGTAGACGCAGGCACGCAGGCACGCACGCACGCAGCACGCACAGATGCGGCATGCACGCACATGCACGTGGTGCACGCACACACACATACACACACGCCACCCGTGGACGCATGCACGTACACATACACACACATGTGGCATGTACACACATAAGCACGTGGTGCACACACACACACGCCACCCATGGACACACGCATACACACAGACATGCGCCATGTAAGCACAAGGCACGCAGGCACGCACACACAAAGTGCACATGCACGTGGCACACGCATGCACACGGCATCCGCGCACACAGCATTGCTCTGGTCCTTCCCTTGGCCACCATTCTGCGACGTGTTCTGCAGGTGTTCTGCAGACCCCTGTGCATAGTGGGGCTCATGTGCTTAACTTATCCTATGGCTTTCTCTTTCGAAAACACACTACTGTCCCTGCCCACCTGAAAAATGGGGGTGGGGCTGGAAATCTAGGCCCTAACACTGGTTTATGGAAGGAATCTAATAGCTGAGGCAACTTTAAGTACTCAGCTTCACTTTAAGGAATTCACTGATATACGGCCTGATCACCTCAAGAAAAATTTGACTTGTAATGTGGAATAGAAGGACCCAAAGAGACTCCAGGTAACCGTAGAAGCATGGATTTACAGAGGATCCCTGCGTGGATGCAAGCAGGGTGGACCCACTAACCAGAAGATTCAGAAAGACTGCTTAAGATAAATAGGAATCTATCGAGTTGAGGCCATAGGAAGGTCAATGGTCTCGGTCTTTGGGCCTTAAAGAGAGGCCATTCAGCTTTCCAAGCCCCTTTCTGATTTCCTTATACAGGAATACCTTGGGGGGGGGGTTCTTTTTTTATTAAATTTATTGGGGTGAGACTGGTTAATAAGGTTATATATCGTTTTCAAGTGTTTTATTGTGCTTTGCTTTATTGCTCTTCACAGGTGTTGCTTTTTTTACAAACTGAAGGCAAGACCCTCCACCGGCAAAAAGATTACAACTCATTTTGTTGCAATACTCATTTTATTGTGGTGGTCTGGAGCCGAAATCGTCATATCTCTGTCTGCCTGCAATGACTTGAAATACCGCACAGCTGTTTTTTTCAAGGAAAAAGAAAACAGGAAACCTGCGCTCCACAACTTCACACCCAGATTTGAAAGTAAACTTAAAATTTCATCAAAATTGCATTTCATACTTTGTAAACCTCAAGCAAACAGGATACTAAAAATACCACCTGTTTTCTCTTCCACTCCCCAAGGTACCATAATTATAACTTGACACAGGATGGAAAACTGACTTACCAGCTTCGATGCATTCTGGCTTCAGGCAGTACTCCTGTTTAGCTTGGAGACTTAAGAAACCTTGACTCACTGAAAAAACAAGACCAAAATAAAGAAATGACTGCTTGAAGCAGATCACCCTCAGGTAACCCACCATCAGGCACATATACAAGACATTTGATATCAGTTCATCCTTCTCAGTATTGACACAGAACTAAAAAATCCAATTGGCTCAATATCACAGAACCAGACTCTGGTCATTAGCTAAATAACCTTGGTGAGACTCTTGGTTGCTCTGCAATTCAATTCTCTCAAACATAAGATGACTGGGCACCATTAGACCAGCGCTTCTCAGAATGGGGTCCCCTGAGCAGTGGCAACAGCATCACCTGGGAATTTGTTAGAAATGCAAATTACCAAGCCCTGCAGTCCTTCTGAATCAGAAACTCTGAGGTGGGGCCCAGCCATCTGCATTTTAACAAGTCCTCCAGGGGATTCTGATGCAGGCTCATGTTTAAGAACTACTGGGCTAAAAAAAAAAAAAAAAAAAAAAAAAAAAAAAAAAAAAAAAAAAACCTACTGGGCTAGAAGATCTCTAAAGTCTCTTCTATCTCCTATTATCTATGATTTAAGTCTCATAATTTTACTCTTTTGTTTACAACTACATTCTGGTTTTAGTGATGGGAAAATTGAAACGTCATTTTGAACAAATCCTGAGTGGAAAGAGATAGAGTTCTGGGTCTTATCTAAACCATCCATATAGATATGGCCCAAGGGGGAGGAAGGTAATATATATTGTATGTAACTCAGTCATCTAGCAAGAGAGCCATTATTTGCCTGCTTTGTACCCCACACACCCTCCTCCCTCCAGACCCAGCCTAGCTACCAGACAGACGCAGCTCCATGGACCAAGCTTCCAACTACTTCCACCAACACAAAGCAGAACAAAACCCCCGCAAGATGGAAACAGCTTTCCACCAATAGCTCACTTTCCCCCATCTGGTGCAACATTATCTAAATGGATTTCTGTGTGAGTACAGAAGGGTACCCATTTGTAAACTCCAGGTAGCACCTGGGCATTAGCAGATGTGAGCTTAGATTTCAGAAATATTTTTGGTAGCCGAAGAACTGGTGGGGAATTCATTATCACTGGGCTCTGTGGGCAGAACTAGGGAACCATTTGGAGATGTGGCTGTGGGGAGATGGAAATTGGGGGTGGAGGGCTCTTTGTGGCATCCTCAACTGAGAAGCAGAATCAGAAAGCGTGGCGGTATCTATATTTCAGCTAGAGATGGAATACTTGCCAGCCTGTCAATCTGGTTTGTTTATTTACTTGCCTGTTTGTTTATATTCTGTTTTATTTATTAACCCACATTCTGAGAGGAGCCAGCTTTTTCTCTGTTCATATCTCTGCTGCCATCCTCCAAACAGCCTTTTTACCTATTACACTGCAGATTCGATGAACTGCCTATGAAACATCTCAGGCCTGCTTTTAAGAAATGAAATATTGACCTAGCCGGTTTGGCTCAGTGAAGAGAGCATCATCCTGCAGACCGAAGGGTCCCGGTTTCGATTCCGGTCAAGGGCACATGCCCGGGTTGTGAGCTTGATCCCCAGTAGGGGGCATGCGGGAGGCAGCCGACCCATGATTCTCTCTCATCATGGATGTTTCTATCTCTCTCTCTCCCTCTCCTTTCCTCTCTGAAATCAATAAAAATATTTTTTTAAAAAGAAATGAAGTATTGTAGCATAAAGATGCATTTTGATTTCTTTAAAAAGCAAAAAAAAACAAAAACAAAAAAACAAAAAAACAAACAAACAGTGGTTAGGTAAAAATATATCTGTGCAGTTTAAAAATTAGTACCAAATATTGCAATGTGCTTGGGTGGTGGAACCATGGAGGAAATTTCCCCTTCAGTCTACTTCCATATGTTTTCCAAATGTTCTTTAATGAGCATGTGTGTGTTTTTATAATGGAAAAATAAACTTTATTGTAAATAATATTTTATGGTTCTGGACAATACCTTCTTGATACTAGCCTTGTTTTATTTTATTTTATTTTATTTCATATATTTTATTGGTTTTTTACAGAGAGGAAGGGAGAGGGATAGAGAGTTAGAAACATCGATGAGAGAGAAGCATCAATCAGCTGCCTCCTCCACACTCCCTACTGGGGATATGCCCATAACCAAGGTACATGCCCTTGTCCAGAATTGAACCTGGGACCCTTCAGTCTGTAGGCCGACGCTCTATCCACCGAGCCAAACTGGTCAGGGCAGCCTTGTTTTATTTTAAATATATTTTTATTGATTTCAGAGAGGAAGGGAGAGGGAGAGAGAAACATTAATGATGAGAGAGAATCATTGATCCGCTGCCTCCTGCACGCCCCACACTGGGGATCGAGCCCACCACCTGGGCATATGCCCTGACTGGAAATCGAGCTGTGACCTCCTGGTTCATAGGTCAATGCTCAACCACTGAGCCATGCCAGCCAGGCATAAGACTGAATTTGAACAGGAAGAAGAATATACCACAAAGTCAAACTAGAAGCATCTTGAAGAGGGGAGGACCTTAAGCCAGAATATTATCACAAAGAGCATTGCCTGGCAGGTCCCAAGAGATTTCCAGACAAGGTCTTTGCTGGGTGCAAGGTGGCGGTGGGGGGGAGGAGGCAGAGCCTGGGGAACTAGGTAGTGAAGAGGGAACAGAAGGAGTCTGACATAGTGCAGAGATATCTGACCAAAATATCATTTACTTTTTAATTTGAGAGTGTAAATATATTTTAAAGCAAATGTCTCTGTCGGTATGCATCCAAATGGATGTGGTCACCTGAAGCAATGCTTCTGAAACTTTAATTTGTAAACATGCAGATCCTGAATCAGTAGGTCTGGGGTGGGTAGAGCCCAGGCTTGCAAGTGATGCTGATGCTATTGGTCCACAGACCACCCTTTGAGTAGCAAAGGTGTAGAATAGCCACACCCTTACTCTCTAACATCATTAGAGCTCCTCTTAAAGATTCCTAGTGAGAACCAGGTTATTGGGCACACTGGAAAGTTCTTTTTTTCTATTAGATACAGACCTCCTTGGGTCTGTATATAATGGCTTGGTGAGTTTTACTGTGCTCTAAAAACTTAACTGTTGACCCCAAAGAATCATGTTCTCTCAAAGAACAAAGATTTGCTGCCATCAAAAGTATTCCAGCCCTAACTGGTTTGGCTCAATGGATAGAGCGTTGGCCTGCAGACGGAAGGGTCCCAGGTTCGATTCCAGTCAAGGGCATGTACCTTGGTTGCGGGCACATCCCCAGTAGGGGGTGTGTAGGAGGCAGCTGATCGATGTTTCTCTCTCATCGATGTTTCTAACTCTCTATCCCTCTCCCTTCCTCTCTGTAAAAAAATCAATATATTTATTTTAAAAAAAAGAGTATTCCAACTTATATGCTTCAGCCTCAGAATGTAATCATAACAATGGAATTTCAAAAACGTTTCAAGAGGCAGTAATATAATTCAAAACAGTACATATTTTTACATAAACAATCACCATTTGGATTTTTAAGTTGGGAGTGTTTTCAAAACACAAATAGTCTAGCTTTGTGGTCACTTCCTACACAGTATGTAGTCCCTTGGCATGCCCCTATCAGTTTTCCTCCAGTTTTGAATTTCAGGATAGGACACTTGCCTAAAACCCAAAAGCCAAGAGATCGCATAACAGTTTTCGAGAGCCACAAATTTGGCTGCAGGAGTAGGAGATTTAACTGTACCAGAAAGCAATAAAGCCACCTAATTCCCTAAATTTTCAGCCACAGACAACATGGAAAGATGGTTTGCTCATTTTAGCAGAGTTTTCAACCACACAACCCTAACTCTTTTCAAGTTTAATTACTGGTTTGCCCCTGCCAAGATAAACATGGCCTCCTGCATCCTGTATGTGCCAAAGAATGTTTCCAGGCATGCTACATTTCAAACTGCACCTAGAATCTGCTAAGTATAGGGCTTGGTCCTATACAACTTTCAAGCTCATGAGATAGTATGGGCTGTATGAGAAAAATACAAAGGCTGATAGGCAAGGGTTCAGAATGCCTACAGTCTTTCCAACGTATTACATTCTTTTGTATAGGAATATGTTTTTATCGTCATATATTCTCCCTGGAAACCTTATTCTCACCAAGAGTTAACATAATTCAATCCTAACACCTTTCAAATCTTGGAAGAAAACCTCTTTTCCTTCATATTATTTTTTAAATCTAATAGAAAGGTGGAGTTAAAATTTTATCCCACCAGAGTCACTGGGTTGGAAAGGAAGAATATCATTTAAAGGTGCATTTATAAAAACTAATTTGTATTTTGTGTGTTAAATTTTGTGATTCATTCAGGCAAACATTGACAGAAATCAAATGGAAAGAAATTCCAGCATGGTTTTGATCACGGTGTAATTCTTTCCTCACAAAATAAATGAAAGTATCTGCCTATGAATTCATAAACACTCATTTTGCTAAATGTAATGCATAAAAACAATATTTGCCCAGTGCAACCGAATCCTCCAGCCACTCGGAAGCCACTTTATACCCACTTCACATCCTGGACTATGCACTGAGTACTTGCGTGTATTTATTTATTTAGCCTCCTAAAGAAAAGGCTCCCACTTATTTGCATACTTAATAGAAACTAAGGATGCACCATCGACCAACACAAGCAAACAGCCCTCCACCTGCATCCTGATGAGTCTGACAGAATCAAGCACAAAGATATTTCACTGCATTCGCCCAGCTCCCTGGCTTCCAGTGCCGCACTTACCTAGAAAGAGGATGGTGCCCAGCACCAGGGTGCTACCGATGAACACCACCAGGGCGATCCGAGTGCCTTTGCTGGCCGATTTCCCAGTCTCCCTGCTGCTCCCCGTTTCTGCTTCCATTGGGAAGGATGTGAAGGCCAGACAAGAAGAGAGTCGCTGTTTGTGGTCTGTTGGCCGGTTTCAAGAATCTGGTAGGTGTTGACATCCAAAGTTCTCTTGCTCTTCTGCTAATGGACAGCTGAAAAAGGTCCTATCAGGAAAGAGCCCCTCACCAGCCCTTCTCAAATAGTTCTCCACACAAATGAAGTAAAAGAAACCCAAAATATTGGTTGCCTCGGCTCTCCCCCTGACCAGACAAAATAAACAGCGGTTGCTTTATCTTGTTGTGCTCCCCCCAGCAAAGTCCCTCTCAACCGATGGTTTGGCAAGCTCCTCTCTCAGGCGTTCCGGGTGTAGATGTTTTACTATGTTGCTGAACAGATGTTTTAGCTATTTAAATGTATAGTCACTTGGGGAGGAAAAAAAACAATTGTCTTTATCACAACTGGATTCTCATCAGACTCCCCCTGACCATGACAAGTTAGGTGGCAAGGATTCTCCGGACCCACTTCAAGATTGCAACATCACGTAATTCTTTTCGCAATAGTCATTCTGCTCGCCTGAAGTGTCTTTATCAAAGATATGCTGTCAGTGAGAAAGTCCGTTTTTAAAGCCTTCTAAGAGTTCCTGGGATATCCTGGAGCATTTTATTTTAGGAACTCTGTGTATGACCACATGTGCCAAAAATCAGAGTCATAGTCCAGTGCAATGCAAAGTAGTAATTAAGACAACCTACAGAGGCTGATGGTTTGGACCGGAACATTTTTTTTTTTTAAGGAGGAAGGAAAAGCACATCCGCTGTGTAGTGCTAAGAATTGTACAAATGACAGGTAAGTTTTCAAATTAAGTGTATTATGGTAAAAACATTTTTTTCCTGCATGGTTTGATGAAAAGTGTCCCCCATGTATTTTTACTCTAGTCCCACGGAGGCAGTCACTGGTTACTATGTTTTGTGTGTGTGTGTGTGTGTGTGTGTGTGTGTGTGTGTGTGTGTTTTAAAATATATTTTTATTGATTTCAGAGAGGGAGAGGGAGAGAGAGATAGAAACATCAATAATGAGAGAATCATAGATCGGCTGCCTCCTGCACACCCCCAACTGGGGATCCAGCCTGCAACCCATGCATGTGCCCTTGACTGGAATCGAACCCGGGACCCTTCAGTCCACAGGCCGATGTTCCATCCACTGAGTCAAACCAGCTAGGGCGGTTACTATGTTTTTATGTTTCCATAAGTACCCATTTCAGCAGATTCCCCAGGATGAATTCAAAGGCAATTGGTTTCACTGGAAAGACTAATTAATGACTGGATCTTTGGTTTCTTTGATTATGCTAACGTTATGAAAATCTGCTTTCTTCATGGGAAAGGGCAACCAGTATTTCAATGCTATTGAAATGATATGCATTTTATGATCTGATTATGGGGGTGGGCAAAAGTAGGTCTATAGTGTGAGTATACAAAACAGAATTTATTCTTGTATTACTTACTTATTAGTGCACTATTTTTTATTAATAATAACCTACTTTTGCCCACCCCTGTATATAGATATCAGGTTTTTTTCATTTTTAAATACATATTTATTGTTGCTAATATTACAGTTATCTCCCATTTCCTCATCTCCCCCCCTCCTCCCAACCTATACCCACCTCCAGGTCTTTACTACCCTATTGCCCGTGTCCATATAATAAAAGGCTAATATGCAAATCAACCAAATGGCAGAACGACCGGTCACTATGATGCACACTGACCACCAGGGGGCAGACACTCAATGCAGGAGCTGCCCTCTGGTGGTCAGTGCGCTCCCACAGGGGGAGGGCCACTCAGCCAGAATCCGGACTCACGGCTGACGAGCACAGCAGCAGTGGCGGGAGCCTCTCCTGCCTCCACAGCAGCGCTAAGGATGTCCAACTGCTGACTTGGAGGGGGCCTAAGCCATCAGTAGGATATCCTCCAAGGGCTCCTGGACTGTGAGAGGGTGCAGGCTGGGCTGAGAGACAATGCCCCACCCCCACCCCAAGTGCACAAATTTTGTGCACCGGGCCTCTAGTAAGTATATAAATTCTTTGGTTTATCTCTTTTTTCTTTTTTTTAAATATATTTTATTGATTTTTTACAGAGAGGAAGAGAGAGGGATAGAGAGAAACATCAATGAGAGAGAAGCATCGATCAGCTGACTCCTGCACACCCCCTACTGGGGATGTGCCTGCAACCAAGGTACATGCCCTTGACCGGAATCGAACCTGGGACCCTTCAGTCCCCAGCCCGACACTCTATCCAGTGAGTCAAACCAGCTAGGGCTGGTTTATCTCTTCTTGTCCCCCCTAGATATCATTAATTCACAACACAATTATTACTTACCTGTTCTTGTTTTATTGGAGGTCATAGGACAGTGGGCGTAGGGAGTGGAGGATTCAGCTACATTTAGAAACCAGTGGAGCATTTTTCTTTCTCATACAAAACTTGTGCCTGTGGGCCTGGAGGTCACACCAGAGCACAGCAAACACCAATGAGCCCAGTATAACATGGCTCATGGTCTTACCTGGCTGATCCTGGTGAGGCTTTAGATCCTTTCATGGGATTCTCCTACGGCTTTAGACTTATTTCATGACATATCCTACCTTACTTTTGGCTCAGTTCATGTTGCCTCAAAGTCAGAAGAGCATAATCCTTCTCTAAATTATGACATCATAGTAACCTGTAGTTAATATTTGCTCATTGGCTATTGATGTTATTGTGTTTTTGTTGTTATTCTATAACACTAGCAAACCTTTGGCTCCTAGGTTGGAATTCTCCCAATAGTTTTTAGACTTGACTCCATAGTACTTCTTATACTTTGAGCTCCATGAGGTCAAGAATTGTGTCCATCAAGTTTACTGCTGCAGCTCCAGCCTCTACACTTCCTTGCCCATAATGGCAAAGGGAGGAATAAGAGCAATGAAAATCACCCAAGTTAGACGTAGCTATTTACTCTTAAAAAGCAGCTTCAGGAACCTCAGATACTAGTAGCTGGAGGTGGGGGCGGCTCAGCCTCCTAACTCCTTCTAAATGCTCAAATGATAATGATACTTTACATGGGCATAGCACTTTCATATCCCACTTTAACCTCAGGCAAACCCATATACTTGATAATAAAGGTATATTTACGTCTAGTTAGGAAATGAGAACACTGAGACCCAAGGACTGGCCTCAGATGGCATAGGAGAACCAGAAAATGGAAACACAGTGAGGAGGATCACTGCCATATACATTCTCCAAATCTCCTCACATATTTTGGGTCCAGACTGACATGCAATGGTGGCCATGCGATGCCAGCTGGAGTAGCCTTTACCCTCCTTAGACTGGCAGTTTCCCCACAGGTGAGGGCAACTGGGGCTTACCCTGAAGTACACCTAGCTATTACTTAGCAGCATGAATTCATTCCCAAACATTCAACTGCTGAATGAAAAACAAAAACCAAAAAATACTTTAAATAATTGTAATGGAAAACTTATGATGTATTCCATCCTAAACTAAGATATGCAAATACAGACAGAAAAATGTATTAATTGAACAATGAAAACACCTCTATAAAAGTAATTAACAGCCCAGCCTGCATGGCTCAGTGGTTGAGCATTGACCTATGAACCAGGAGGTCATAATTTGATTCCCAGTCAGGGCACATGCCAGGGTTGTGGGCTCAATCCCCAATGGGGGTAGGGCAGGGGTGGGCAAACTTTTTGACTCGAGGGCCACAATGGGTTCTTAAACTGGACCGGAGGGCCAGAACAAAAGCATGGATGGAGTGTTTGTGTGAACTAATATAAATTCAAAGTAAACATCATTACATAAAAGGGTACGGTCTTTTTTTTTTTTTTAGTTTTATTCATTTCAAACGGGCCGGATCCGGCCCGCGGGCCGTAGTTTGCCCACGGCTGGGGTAGGGGGTACAGGAGGCAGCCAATCAATGATTCTCGCTCATCATTGATGTTCCTATCTCCCCCCCTTCATCTCTGAAATTAAAAAAATATATATTTAAAAGTAATTAACAGCTTCCAGGATTTTGAAAACATTTGTTTGTATAATGTAATATAATGAAGTTTTGTGGGTTTTTTTTACTCACCAAAGAAATAAAGGAAGACCTCCGAATGAGTGGGACTTGGTAAAGGGTACAGGTTAATCATCTATATATATAAAAGCCGAGCGACTGGAATGACCGGAACAACTGGTCGCTATAACGTGCACTGCAGCTGGCCAACTGGCCTGATTGGGGGCGGGGCTGGCTGGCCAACCTCCCACAGCCCCTCCCCCGGCTGGCCCAGCCCTGATTGGCCCCAATCAAGGCAGGCCAGCTGGACCCCACCTGTACACGAATTTGTGCACCGGGCCTCTAGTTCATTATAAAGCACATTCTTCATTCTGTGCCATTTTCCACATTAATTTTCAACCTTTTGGGAGATGATGATTATCTTGTACTTAAAGTGCATTTAAAAATAGTTGTAGCACAGAAAAAAATCCCTAGGCCAGGGGTCCTCAAAATATAGCCCACGGGCCACATGCAAATACAAATATTGTATTTGTTCCCATTTTGTTTTTTTACTTCAAAATAAGATATGTGCAATATGCATAGGAATTTGTTCATAGTTTTTTTTTTAAACTATAGTCTGGCCCTCCAACGGTCTGAGGGACAGTGAACTGGCCCCCTGTTTAAAAAGTTTGAGGACCCCTGCCTTAGGGCAAAATACAAAGTCCAAAACACAGAGAATTAATGAGTGCTCACAAAGACAAAAGCATGGGTCTGCATATTAGGGTACATAAACCAAACCTGGCCCACTGCCTGTTTTTGTAAATAAAGATATAGTGAAACAAAGTCACACCCATTTTTCACATATTTATTATTGCTGTGATCCTACAAGGTCAGTTGAGTCATTTTCCAACACATACATTATGGCCTGCGAAGCTTAGCATAGTTACTCTCTGGCCCTTTACAGAGAAGTTTACTAACCCATGGACTAAAAAGTAGTAGAAGATGCTGCCTCTCACCCCACCTCCATGGCACCTATCAACAGAACAAAATATTCATTGACATGCTTTTCGAAATCATTCCATTCAATGTTCTGTTGTGTTAGAGAAAATGGTCAATATGTCTTTGCCTGAAACTATAATAATGAAACTGTCGTAGGCAGTTAAATAGACAGGAGCAGAGCAAGGACGATGGGCCAGATACAGAAGGTCAACAGGGTAGAAAGCCCCAGGTGCCTAGCAATGGACAATCAATTGTAGGGGACCTTGTCCCCAGAGGGACTTTTCCTTCCCTAGCATATTGCTGGTCATGAGGTTTGGACCCCCAGACCTTTTCTCCCTAGAGCTGTGGTCGGCAAACTGCGGCTCGCGAGCCACATGCGGCTCTTTGGCCTCTTGACTGTGGCTCTTCCTAAGCCTCAGGAGTACCCTAATTAAGTTAATAACAATGTACCTTCCTATATAGTTTAAGTTTAAAAAATTTGGCTCTCAAAAGAAATTTCAATCGTTGTACTGTTGATATTTGACTCTGTTGACTAATGAGTTTGCCGACCACTGCTAGAGATAACATCTAGGCCTCAAGTTGTATTTCAGCTTCAGGTCTCGATAAGCAACAAAGCCAACCACGGCTGACATCAGGACCAGCTGCATTCAATACTGACCCCCAGCCCTGGTGCCGG